GTGATGCCAACAAACATTAGCCCAGTGAAGCAGCCCATCTCACAGAGCCATGATTCAGCCACATCCCTCCCTGTGCAGGTAGCCCACCTTTTACCTAAGTCTCATGGTTAAAGCACCCATCCAAGCAGCATCTGAGGGATGTATCTGAATGAGACAGCAATGCCATGGGGCAGTGGTTTTGGCATACAGTCCAGCTTTATTGCTAGCTTCCAAATTTGATTCTGTACTTGGTATTAAACTGCATTTAGCTGCAAAGTGGAAACAGTCTTGAGAAAATGCAAGTCTTTCCTCTCCCACACAGAGTGCTCTGAACACTGGACTTTCAACATACATGTTTTTGCACCCCTCTTTTTGGTCCATATAAATCTTATAGCCTTGTCTGGTTCCTACATCTGAGAACAGATGACATTTGTGCAGGGCTCTAACCTTTGAGGTTGAGAGAAGCAGGCTCTGAGCCTGACCCCGGCTCTGCTGTAGTCCAGCACAGCAGCTGAATCAGAAAGGGCTGTGGAAAATGCCCTGAGCAGAGTGACATGCAGAAACCACAGAGGAGGGTTTCTGCCACGTGCAGAAACCATAAAGGAGGGACCTCTACAAATCTAAAGCCAGAAAAGCACTCACTGAGTGAATTTAAACATCTCCAGCAGCAGCCACCAACTGGGATTCACGTATTTTTGTAACAACTAAATGCTACACTGGGTACTTCACCTATCTCTTCTAGATGCTGGTGTCTGAAATGTGCTCAAGCTGGGAAGAGATAGTTTCCAGAAGGAGAAATCTCTGTGGTCAGGTTGCTTCAGGGTGTGAGGTCACTTGGTCAGGGAGCTGTAATTCCCACACCCTTTCCTATGAAAACCTGGGTGGTGAAGCAGCTAGGACTCGCCACCTAAACTGCAGCTGAGGATACTCAATTCCAAGTCTATTAGCTGAAAGCCTTTACATGTGGAAAGATAAAAATACGAATGTACTATTTAGCATTTTATTTTACTGATGTGTAAAAAAAAGAATGCTTTTGCCTACATTTAAACTATAAATTAAAACTGTTTATTCTGTACCTGGCGGGGAATGCTGTTAATTGAATAATATTTTAAAAAAAGGTTTCCACTTGAAATTTTTCTCAGTTCTGCAGGCTGGATATGATCTGAGTTACAGGATTGTATTGTGTTACGACACGATTTGGTTATGTCTTGCTTGTAAGAGTTAGCAATAAAAACTAGTTCACTACACAAATACAATCCTGATTCTGTTTACTTCAGTTGCACCCACAAATAAAGGGAAGGGCTTTATTAGAACTGAACTATACAAAAGTCTTCTAAAACCTTTTCAAAGTACACAAAGAATTTCATTCTCTTTCCAAGATGACTAAGAGCTCCTACAGAAGAGTACTCTTTGAACTACACAGGAAAAACATTACATCCATAGTGGAAGAGAACATCACTTCTTAAAAGAGGTAATTCATCATATCACCTGCTACCATGTCACCCTGCTTCATAACTTACTTTTATTGACCAAGGACAATGCAGGGGAAGAAAAATGCAGTAGAGTTGCATTAAACATTTAAAAAGTATAAGAAAATATAAAAAATCTTCCCATTAAACAGTTATTGATAACTTATCCTCATAGAGTGCAGCATGATGTAAGGAATACCATTACTTTACTTCAGAGACAATGCAGAAGGCAGTCATCTGGTGTTGTAAGTCAGTCCGTCCTTAAGCAGTTACTGAGGAAATAGATGTGGCTGTTTTCTAGATGGTGAAATCATACACTGAACTTTCTTCTTCCTCTCTCTGGGAGAGACTGCTGGCACACCCAAGGGGAAGTCTGGTGCCAGCACTAGGGGGGCACTTTTAGGTTCCTGCTTAGGTAACTCTGCCTTGGCTGCAGCAACACTACGGGAGGCATCTAGAGACAGGGCTGTGGAAGAGAAACAGACAGCAAGGCGATCTGCATGTTTCATAGAGCTGTCAGGCTTCTTGTAGCATGAATCATGTCCAGATATAGGTGTATCTAAGGTGTTCCCATAAATCTAGTAGTAGATACGAGAAGAGAGCTGTTTACAACCAGGCAGAAGCTCGTGGTGTCCAGTTTCACAGCTAAGCAGTGGGACTGGCCCAAAGACTCCTGTTCCAGAGTTCAAGTTCCTGCCCAGCCCAACAGGAACTAATCTTGCCCTTTCTGCTATCCCTTTCCAGCTGGTCTTTGTGGCCCCTTGATCAGCTGCCTTCCCACCCTCTGTGCAGAGTGTTTGCTGCAGCTGAGCCTCTCTCTTGACCCAGGGCCGCAAAGTCTGCTACAGCTTCTGCTACAGTTGGCTGTTGGATTTCTGAGTCTCACCACAGGCTCCCTTGTAAGCTGCCTTAAAGTATGACCTTTATATTTTGCCATACTGCTGCAAAGAACAATATTGGTTATAATTTGGGTTTACATTTATTATATTATTTGACCTTTTGAAAATAGCCATTTTATATAAGTGAAACAAGCAGTTTTAAAAATATCAGAGTGGTCCAATGACTCAAGTGGCTGGTTCAAAGCACACTGGGTAGTGCTAGTCTCTTCATATCACATGGTGACTTTGCCATTTTATTACTGCCTCTCTTGAATATCTCATCCAGGTTTGATTTTAAAGGCTAGATTGAGAAGGTCATTTGTAGTCTCAGTCTCATAGCATTAGAGAATATAGATGTGTATTATCAGAAAATTGACTAAATTAAAATAAAAACTATAATAATAGATCTGTTCCTTGGGGATTTCTATATTTGTGGAGAATTACGCTGACCATTGCTTCCAACTAAATAGGACTCAAAAAGTGTGTTACAGATACGCCATCAACATTTTCTTGCTTCTTTTATGATGATTAGGAGGAACATGTTTTAACTGATATAACAGTTGTTTATTAGAATAATGTAATCTCAGTAGACACATAGACCAAATAAAAAACTTTAGGACTCTTCTTTTATTATGTATTTCCCCATCCCTTTGCTAGCATTCCAATGAAAAGTAAATATAATGGGTAAATTTATGCCTAATGCAACTAGGGATAAATCTGAGTAAGTGCTTTCAACTCCATCCAAGTATAAAGGACAAGAAGGGAAAAAACATGAATCAGTACTGCCTCAGTTTTGCCAGTATAGACATCTTTCAAACGATACTGCTAAAGTTAAACAAGTTGTAAAATAGCATATGCAAAGCATGCTTGAAAGGTACGTATTGGAGCTAAACTGCAAAGTCCTAAAAATATTTAATTAACTACAAGAACTTTAATACATACTTGAATAGATATATAAAATATTTTTTCTCTCTCAAAAATAATAAATATAAAAATAAGTACTGAAATCAGATAAGATATATATGTAATATATATGTAGCTCAGGATAGCTTAAAGTGCTCTGGCTCTTTGCTTTCTCAAGTCTTAGGAGAATCACAATGTATTATTCAAAAAATGCATGTATCTTCTTCCCTGGCAAATATGGAGCTAAAAATCTTTGAAAATAAAGAACACCCTTGGGAAAGCAAGTTAATGGAAGTATTAATCCCTCTATCTAGAGCAGGACAGGTTACTCTGTCCTTTTACTTCTGGAGAAGGTCCGATCAGCACACTGCCCTGCATTGCCCTGCTGAGACCTCAGAGCTGGCCACCAGGACACACACAGGGTTCTCCACACTTACCATTTAAAACATATTATTGCTTACGCCCCAGTTACTGAGAAGTAGCTTGTGTGGTAACAGGAGTTGCACATTCAATATGCTGTGATTTTTTTTCTGTGTTAATAACTTGTAAATCTGCGGCCTCCTCCTCCTCCATCCATTAATTCTGTCTCCCCGAGACACAAAGTGATCACCAGAACGAATGCGTGGCTAGTACTGAAACGCTTCTGCACTGACACTTCTAGCTGTGTTCTCGGCAGGCATTTGCTTGTTTGGAAAAAAGGTAACTGAATATCGCGTACGAATAGGTGAGACAGCCATGTAATTAAGGCGACCCCGAAGGCGTGCATCTCCCTTCCGAAGAAACACGCTGCTGGGGTAAGTGAAAGAGAAGAAAATCGTAATTTCATTTATTCCAAACCAGCAGTTGCAGACAGTTTAACCCCAGACAGCCGTGCCAAAGGAGATGCCGCTCCCCGCCTGCCTCAGGAGCGGCAGGTTTTGCGTGCCCACGCCAGACCGGCACCGGGTTTTAAGGTGCCCAAGCTCAGGGCTCCGCTGTCCCCGAGGGCTCCCCGCAGCCGGCGGCACCGCCGCCCCCTCGACGCTCACCGGCGGTGCGGGAGCCCCGCGGAGGGACCGGCTGCGGAGCGGGAGGGGCGCGGCGGGACGGGCGGCACCTCCCGCCGCCCCGGCTGGCCCGGTCCGGCCCTCCCGGGGCTCCCGCCGCCCGCAGCCCCCCGGGGCGGGCAGAGGCGCCTGCGCGCTGCGGCCGCTCGGTGTCGGTGTCGGTGCCCGCCCGGCGCTGGCGCCGCCCGCAGCTCCCGCCGCCGCTGCCTATTTTAGTCACGGCCGCGGCTCCGTGCCCGTCGCGGGACGCGCTGCCGGCAGCGCCGAGGAGCGGCAGCGCGAATCTGGTCCTGTCCTATCCCGTCCCGTCGCGTCCCGTCCCGTCCGGGCGGCCGTGAAACTTTTCCTTGGGCCGGGGCACGGGGCAGGTAAAGGGAGCGGGCAGGGCGGGGGCCGAGCTGAGCCGGGGCGGGCTGAAGTCCTGGCGCTGCCTCCGCCCACCCCCGCCGGCGCTGTCCAGTCCGGCAGCGCTCGGAGCGCCGCCCGCGCTGCTCGGGCCGGGGTCGAGCGGAGCCGGGGGCCCCTCCGGCCCCGCTGCGCTCCGGGGCACCCGGCGGGGGGAGGCACGTCGGGGCCGGGGCGGTGGCGGGACCGGCCGTCGGGGGAGGGCTGCCCGCCCCGAGGGCTCGGCGGCGTCCCGGGCGGGTGTGACAGGTCCTGCCCTGGGAGGGGAGCACTCCCTCCTCCCCTGCGCGCCCTGGTCACCGGAGCGCCCGAGGCAGCCCTGGCTGGAAGTTGGGGAGCTCTGCCGTGTCCCCTTTGCAGAACAGCGCGACACGCTGCCCTGCGCTGCCACTCGCCAGGGCTCTGTCTGGAGTGAGACTCTTCGTTATGTGTCTCGGGTTTAGGGTTTGTCCCTTAGGACGGCGTGGCTTCTGGTTCTGCCCGGGTTCAGCTGCTGCCGCTCACACAAGAGCCGGCTCGGAGAGTATCTCTGCTGTCACAAAAGCAACTCGGGATCCGGGGATTTCTTTCTCCGGCTGGGGATTTGCCTCGTAGGAGGACGTTATTTGATTCTTCCCTCTCTCAATCAACAAATGGTAAGAGCAGATGAACCCTGAAATTAAGCTCTGGTTTTGCATTTGCAGTTGCTTCTTTCCAAAGACAGAACGAGCGACACAAACCACTTCTTTTCCCCAAACTATAATATTTTTTCCAAACATATTCTCCCAAATTGTAATATTTTAGCACATTTTCCTTCATCTGTTCTGTAAAGGTTTGTGTGCATTTAGGCTGTCAATCACTTTATGGGCAAATATTTTATGTAGCTAATCTCTTGTAATATTGAATCATGTACCACCTGGTAGTATTATAAAGAAGTCATTAATGAAATTTGGCTTCCAAAATTAGGACTTCTTGCTACTTTATTGTTTAATGGGAATATGATTGTAAACGTACAAGTTAAAATGTCTTCACTGACCACAGCAAAACAAGAAATGGTTTCCACATCTGTAGAACTGGTGCTATTTGGGCTTTCCACAAAGGTCTGTGTGTTGCCAAACAATAAAGTAGCTTAAAATGTCAAGTTTTAAAGAAATGCTTTGCCTGCAAAATAGTAAGTAAACTGCAAGTCCTCCAGTGAGGGGAATAGATATTGAAACAGAAGAAAATTGTAACTGTGGTTCAATTGTGGTTCCTGGCACAAACTTTGCCTTGACAGTTACCTGTAAGGTTTGTGTCAGGAACCACAACTGAACCACAGGTTTTATGATGAAAGTTTTTGAGAACAGAAAGTTTATTAAGGATTCAAGAAAAGGGTTATTAGCTGAAGCTAGGTTTGATCTTTTTAGTAAGTGTGTGGGCTCTTCAGAGAAGAGATTTTATTTCATTATTTTAGTGTGTTCCCCTAATTCACGAAAAAGTATACACTGGTCAGTGTCTCCAGATGATGATAGAATACCTGTTGTTGGGCATGCCACTGTTGCCCAAACAAAAGTCAGATATTACATAATGAACAAAGCTGCTATTTGTGATTATATTATGTGATGAATCTAAGAGTTTTCTGGCTGTTATAGAAAACTAATGAAGGTGATGCTAAACCCATGCCATGTCCATGCTTCTGCCTGTTTCTCCTTTGTATGTAAAGCTGTATGAAACTTGTTCCTGTAAAGCAGAGAGTAGAACTGTACCCAGACTGTACCGTCCAGTAATGATAGTTTCAGCAGCTCCATTAGGGCACACTTTCTACCTTTCACTGCATTTCACTCTGGTTTAGAGCTTCCAGGGTATGTAAATATGGTGTTTTGTGGCTCAGTGTGCCATTTATATGTTTGAACATAGGGGTCATGGTACAATTCTGTAATCCAGTCGTGCATGCAGGGATAGTGTGATGAACCAAGCCTCTGTGTTTCTTTCTTTTTTGAGAAATTAAGTTCACATCAGGTAGTTGATTTCATGAGAATACATTCCCATCCAGGGGCACTGCTACACCATACAAATTCATTTAAGCTGTATTCTGCAGAATACATTAACACAGTTTATTAACACAGTTTTAAAGCACTTGTGAAATATGCATTGTGGCTGCTTTCTCTATTATAATTTAAAAGTTGAACTGTAGAGAAGCTTGAACTTGTACTTGACTTCGAAATTTTATTATAAAACACAATAAAACAGACCCCCTGAATTATTTTTTGGCCAATGCTGCACAATTTACAAGAGCCTTGCTCGAATTTATCAGTGCTAGCAATCCATAGTTAGTTTAAAAAATGTCTGACTGTCATTCCATATTCATGTTTCCTAGGACCAAAAGACCTTAAAAAAAGGAGAAAGGGGATTATACTGCTTAGTTTGGCAGGAATACCACAGGTACTTATGGTTCATCAATTCTGATTCAAATTGGAAGAAAATATGTAATTTTTTTCTTCATTTCAGATACTGTCCAGATGATAAAATAGACAGCATCTTCAATATTGGCTTTGCAACCACAGAGGGTTGCATTGTATATTTTACAGTGATAAATGAGGAATTGTTGAAGTACTGTAAGCTCTGTAGAGTTAGCTGGTCTTTAAATATTTAAAGACAAAATAATACCAGCTTCACTGTATGCAGTGCTTCTAATGAACCTTCTGTTCTGTATTACTGTGGGATTTCTTTTCCTTTCGAGGCCTCCCCCAAGCCCAGCTTTTTTCCACTTAAAAAGATTAGTAGGAATTTGAGCAAACTGTAGGCAGAAACAGGCCTTCCCAGCTGCAAGCTCAATAAGTGCCAAGTCCCACTGAAGAGCTCTGCTTTGGAGACAGCAATTCTGCATCTGCTGCAGCAGGGAGACTGGGAGTCAGCCCCAGCTTGGTGAGGAGGACAACCACTCACCAGCCTCATGCCACTGGTGGGTTGTTCATGTGGACCATTGACTTCAATGCAGAGATGACACTGGGGTGTCTCCAGGGTTGGGCAGGAGCTGATTGAAGGGGCTGCTTTACTGAACAACCTGGAATTTGGTAACCTAAATTCTGCCTGATCAAAGCAGAGTTTTGGCCCTGAAAATTCCTGCTTGGCGGTTGTTTTTCAGAGCTGCCCTGAAGGCAGTGAAGCACCACTGATGGCTGGGCATGCCCCAGCTTCTTGTTTTGTAGCTCTGAGCATTCCCAGAAAGATTGCTCTCCAGGAAGGTATCACTTCACATGGATGATCTGGGAGTGGGACAGTTTGGCAATTGCAGCCCAGGGGGGTACTGGAAGGACAAGGAAGAGTGTGGTTTGACCACTTTTCTTAACACCCGAGATACTTTACCTTCAGTGTGACAGCCTCCACTGGGAGCACTGATCCAGTGGGTGGGACATAGCAATGAGACATGAGTGAGACAGAGGATGCCTTCCTCAATCCAAGAGAAGGAGAAATCTGTCTTCCCTCTTCCCATGAACGTGCTCCCAGTGACTCATTTTGACTCGTATGAATGGGTCACTTGCTGCCCTTTTCATTAAAGCTGTGAAGTTGTGCAGAAGGGAGACTGAGAACTGCACTGCAGTCCCTCCTCGTTCCGCGATGACACTCACCCAGGGAGTGGGATCCTGGGGCTTGGTTGCTGGGCCTGCAGACATGTTTCATGGTAAAGCATTCATTGATAACACATCCCTTCCTTTGAAAAACATTCGCAGGAGGGGTACTGGCTACACATGCATGAAAGTTTCGTCTATAAGGTCTATAGGAGAAATAATTTCAGAAATATACCTGTCTTCAGTGTTTTCTCTTGTCTTAGTTTGTATCTGAGATAGGCTTCTGGATTTCACTGTGAAGACAAGCTATATAACTTTCTAGATATATACAACTATTTTATATCAAGTAACTTAAGACAAGAGTCCAGGAGACATTGTTGCGAATATCTAATGTGACTTCCTGTAGAATAAAAAATAGAATTGTAGTAAATCAATTAATTTTTTAATAATAGCATACGCAGATTTTTTTTAGGGACCAGACAGTATCCTGACTTCCTTAATTCCCAGCAAAGGAAATCTTTAAAACCATCCTACTAATTAATTACCTTTGCTATGAATGCTTGTGTGTCTTTGTGATCTGAATATATCTACTTTTATAGTGATTGATTATCTTGATACCTTTGTCTTTTGGATTGGGTAGTCCTTTTCTTCCTCGTCCTTCTTACATCTTCCTGAATAGATCTTATGGACTGTGATGAGGCTACTGTACTGTTTTCTATATTGCGCAGGCTGCATTTTCTTGGGAAAACCTTGTGTTTTTCAGTATTATAATTACAGCTTTCTCTGGCATATAGTGTCAAGAAGTTTAAGGTAAGCTAGCTTGTGTTGTTAGTTACTGTCCTAATTGTTGTATGCATGTTTTGAGCCTGATGTGGATTCAAGGATGGATTATCACTGTATTATTTTACCTTATTTACCTGCCCATACTTGCCTACAGGTGCGTAGCCATAGCTCTCTGTAGGTGCACAGCTCCTCTGTGCACTGAGTTAGGCATTGCAATTAAGAGTTTGGTTGTCTTGGTCCCTTTGGGTGTCTAACCCCAAATGACAACTGCAGAAGGAAAGTAACTTGGAAAAAGCATGATACATAAAGAAGCCTCAAGAGCAGTAGGTGTCAGTAGGGGCCACAGAGGGGATTTCAGAGATGCAGGGGCAATGGAAGGCAGGGGTACATTAATTGATACATGTGTTTACATTGCATGTAAAACTACTTGCTAAAATTAAGCAGCAGTTTCTTTTTATAATCTAAAAGATTGCTAGACCAGATGTAATTTGCCAGCCTACAGGGGGTGCTCAGAGCTCATCCCTCTGGAAGTGGGGGGTGTCAGGGCCAGGAGGGCCCCCCCCTTGGCTGGAGGGACTGCCTTGTTCCTGGTGGAGTTGCTGAGCTGTTGAGCCAGGCTGTGTCCACTAGCTCATGTATAAACATACACACTGTAGTGGCTAAAACCAGTGAGACAAATCCTGCTAAATCTAGTATAATCTCATTTTGTGCATGAAAATGTATATGCTGTAAAGGAAAATCTTTCTTTGCTTCCAAACCTGTAGCAAACAATTCATCTGGGCTGGTTACACAATTAGCATGTACAGCTCTATAGCCTGCCAACATGTGCAGTGTGAAAGTGCTGAGGGCTTTCTTTCTGAATACTTGGGATAAGGCAACTAAAGAATAGAGTATTCAAACTTTGAATAGTTTTACTTTTGACTTAATTAAGAAGACCGAAGAGAGAACTGCTGGTAGCCTAAGGGCTTTTAGGGTTTATTTTTCACAGGAATTATTGTGATCCAGACACAGTAACTAACACTCAAAGCTTCTCAGAGTTGAATTTGAGTCATCAGTGACAAAAACGGAGTAAAGTACACAGTTCTCAAGCAAATAAAAGATGTACATAATTGGTAATTCTTTGTGGGAATACTGCAATGTATGAGGAAAATACCCATTTGAGGGGAAGGTTGTACTATGTGCATTTAAATTACAATATAAATTCATTCTGTTTTGACTGGTTTTGTATATTACTTATATGACGTTTTAAGTTGCTGACAGGTATTTATTTGGGAGAGTATAAGTGAAATACTCCATTTACTGCTTTGAAACTCCAGCAAACTTGTTGATTTTAACACTTTCTGATGACAGCTTAGTCCTTCCAGCTGTTGTTTATTTAAAAGGAGTCCATGCCACTGTACATTGCTCCCATCTCTAGCCTGGGCTGATTTTTTGCATCACTTCATCTGCTCTTAATGAAGAAGGTGGGATGTGTGGTGGGGCAAAACACTCTGAAGCATCTCAGTAATTCAGCCTTTGTTGGCAGGTCACAGCTCCTTCCCAAGCTGTGAGGACTCGTCTTGAATGAACCTCTAATTTTGGCAGCCTACAGATGTCAATATGTCAATGTTATTCTGAATATGGCAGACACTGTGCTGTGCGTGGTGCTCCTTCTTCTCCATAGGCAGGGGACTGAGTAGAAAGTACTCAATGTGTACTTGGGAAGATACAATTCTTCAGGTTTATAATCCAGATAACCTGCTTTAAATGCAGTTTCCTGCTCATTCGATCACCATCAAATGAACTTGTAGCAATAACTATTCACCACAGCCAGACTTACAAACTTGGCAGTGTTGTGCTGCTATGGAGGATAACTCAGTTGCTATCACAGCTCTTTGTTTTTTTGATATGGAGGATTTTTCTCCCCCCCCCAGCCTTGCTTGCAGTAGATGAACGGCTTAATTAGAGTGACTGTTCTGAAGCCCTCAAGAATTTAAATTTTGGACTTGTAGGAACTATAAAGAAAAATGTGAGAGGCCTTATCTAGCACTAAATACCCATCAAAATTAGAAATTTTATTGTCCTTAGGTCCATACCTATTATTGTCTCTGTTCTACATAATACCTGATAATAAAAATTACCACCAATTTTTAGCTCACAAATATTAGAATAATTTCTTGAGTAAGAAGAGGTGCTGTCTTGGTTTAATGACAATATATATTCCAGGAGGCGAGATCTCTAATGAGATGAACCCTATTCCTTTCTTTTAAATATTCCCTTCCCCAAATTCAGAGAGAAATAAAAGATAATGCAAGGAGGACCCAGTGAGGGAAAAATGCATTAGAGTTCATAGTGCTCCAGTATCAGCCAAAGCTTTGTATTCTTGTGGGTCGGATGTACCAGGCCATCCAATAGACATGGTTATCCCATGCCTCTACCTGGCTAGAGGCAGGGCCTCTCTAATGCTGGTCTTGGTAGTCACGGCTTTCTCCCTTGAATACAAATGGGAGGTCCCTTCCAGAGGATCTGATTCTGTCTAGGGGCTTGCCTACAGGAGACTGGAGCTACATCCATCCTTTAGAAAGTGCCTCTGATGGTAATTTTTCCCTTTAATTCCTATACCCATGCTGATAAAGCAGAGGTGAGTTTTCCATCCCATCTCCTCATGTCTTCCCCATATTTGTGTAAAAAGAACCACAGGTTGCCCCATGTGGTGTATCCTCTCTCCATAGCCTGTCTAAATAGCAAGGTCTCCAGTTTGCACTGGCATGACATGGACAATGCTCTCCCTAAACTCCTCTCTGAGTTTTTTGTGGTCACTTTTTACTTCCTCAATTAGAGTCCAGAGGTCTTCATCCAGTTCCTCTACAGAAGAGATACAGGCCTGTAATGTGGCTCTTGGGGAAAAAATAAAAAAAAAACCCTGAGCTTTGATATTCTTGAGAATGTAATAATGTAGATGGCAAGATATTTCTTAGCTTCCCTGCTCTTTTACCGGGAAAAGAACCAGACACTTAAAGACTTTGGAAGTTTTTAATCTTGATGACACCACTGAGAGATACTGCATTTGCAATTTCTACCATGTGTAATCTCACATTGAAGCATGTATTTTTATTTTAAAAGACAGACATAGAAAGCTGGTTTTGATTTTTTTAAACTTATTTTTGTTTTTTTCGTGTTTATTGGTTGTGTGTTTTCCTTTTCAAATTCTTAGCAATTATTATATGAAATATATGAAATATAATCATTGTCATATGAAAACAAATAACTTGTTGAACAAAAAAAATTCTGTGGTCCATGGCATGAAATTATATGAGGTAAAACTTTGAATGTTATAAAATTGTTTTGTAAATGTCCTTTGAGTAATATTTTGCAGGACTACTTACTAAATTACCTCTAATAACATGATCTATATAGAGATGCTTTTAAACTTTATAGTCTTTCTTATATATGACAGGTTTTTCAGGCAAAAACCTTGGAATAGAAAAGACCATCCCCTGGGATACTTGGGTTTCCCATACTGTAGTGTTTGGGGATGTAGTCTGTTGTCTCCAGGAACAGAGAGCAGCCTTGCTCAACACATTAGAGAGAGTGGTTTGACTGAAATCCAGAGCGAGATGGAGGAGGTGAACAAGGAAAAAGAGTTCACTGTCTCTTCTTGTTAAAGAGCTTGTTAGAATGTTAAATAAGGCTCTCAGGGGGCAGTTTCAGGACCAACAAATGCAACTACCTTCTCAACAATGAGGCTGTGCAAAGGCTTGTCACAGAATGTTGTGAATACAAGTACAGGTTTACATGGGTTCATTTCATTGGTTATGACAGGGTTCATAGATACAGGAATATGATCTTCAGTTGAATGAATATTAAGGTTTGATCCTGAAATCCCAGAGCTGCAAGGGGAATTGGAAGACTGTAATGTAGTCTGTGGTTTTAGACAGTAAAAACTTTGATAGAGGCTAGCTGATGAAAATAATTTTATAAGTAATTAGTCTTTTCTTCACTTGTCCAGATCAGATGAAGCTACAGATGACATGACGAAAGTCAAAACAATGCATGAACTGATGAGAAATAGCATGGAGAACATTAACTGCCTAGTTGCTGGATATCCTAAGCACAACCTCACTACCAAAAGAGACCGTGATGTTATATGATCATGGAACAGAGTTCGCAAGAATGGAAAAGCAAAGGAGCTCACTAGTTGCATCTCATAAATAAAATTTTCCAAGATTTAGCTGAATCAACAAATTATTCCAGCCATGGGAGAAAATGCAAGTTTTTGGGAAAGTTTGATATATGCACATCCTACGTGTACCACCTGGAAGCAAGAGGCAGAGGGATCTATCTACCACCTAGCCAGTATTCTCTTTGTTGTGGGCTTCATGGGTGGAAGTGGATTCTTTGGGCTTCTCTATGTCTTCAGCCTGCTTGGATTGGGCTTTCTCTGCTCTTCTGTTTGGGCTTGGCTGGATATCTGTGCTGCTGATATATTCTCCTGGAATTTTATACTGTTTGCTATATGCTTCGTCCAGTTCATTTATGTTACCTACCAAGTTCGGAGTGTTGCCTTTGACAGAGAATTCCAGGAACTCTACAGTGCTCTGTTCCAGCCTCTGGGAATTTCCTTGACTGTGTACAGGAAGATCGTCTTGTGCTGTGATGCAGAAGTGATTACCCTGGAGAAGGAACACTGTTACGCCATGCAGGGCAAAACACCTATTGATAAACTGTCCTTGCTTGTATCAGGCAGGTTGGTATTAGTTTGTTCAGGTATGCTGCAAATACCTTTATTTTTAACTCCTTGAAAATGAGAGAAAAAAAAAAAAAAAAGGCCTGATTTGTGTATTTTTTGTTTATTTTCCAATACAATAGATTAAATATTAATGCAAGTAATATAAATATTAATAGGCTAAATACACTTGTCTAGCATAGCACTATCATAAAAACACTAAGCACAAAATCTGTAATAGCATGAAGAAAAAGATTTGAAGTCATTCTTTTCCAGACCACTATATCATAGCACTTAACGGGTTAGGCAGATAAAGGGAACAAATATGTACTTCAGTTTTCAGGCTGTGGTTTGCTATCTATCTACTGCCTAGCTGATGAGAACAGCATCTGTCTTATTTTTCTTTACTTATATAATCTGAAATGAGACTAAAAGTTAGTTATGAAACTGAATATACTGAGGTAAACTCTGTGTAATAGAGATCTTGACATTGATACAGATTGTATTTAGTTGCTTTCAAGGGGTTGGGAGAAGAAAAGGAGTAAGGGAGAGCAAAAGGCTTAAAAGCACCTTTTCATTACAAGGGGACATAGTTGAGCCCTGTCAAGATTTGCAGAACTGTATCTACAGGTACTGTATACTGTGGCCCTTTGTTAGACCCTGAGGCAATAAATCGACCTGCTTGTATTCCCTAATTACAGGGAAACCTTCTGGCAACTTTGCCGATGCTTTACTGAAGGGAAATACTAGCTTTTGTACTGTATGAAAAGCAGCATGCAATACTAGACTGCCACAAGACTAGGTGGGATACCCAGGATGATGTCCATGGACTGTCTTTGATGGGACACTTTGTGGGTGAATTTTGATAGGTTGGTGCATGGACAGATGGAATTTGTAGGCAGCTTGACATTCAGCTGATTTAGGACTACTTGCAATGGACAATATGGATTGTAGGCAATTGTCCTTAAGACACCCCGGTTCAGAGCATTGTTGGGAGTACCTCATGGAGATTGCTTTTGGTCATAGGTGTACTATAGGAGAGGTATCCACCCTTCTACATGCCCAGCCGGATAGTAATCAACTAACAGGAAGTTCCTACTGCCCTTCTTCACCTGGTACAGGGCTTCTTGTGTGCCTTCAAACTTAAATATTATTTAAAAAGTAGAAAGGAAATTTTTCTTTTTGTGGCATCTGCAGAAGGCCGCAACATTCACATAGAGATCCCATACCTCCAGGCTGTTCTTCTGGCTCCAGACACAGTCCTGTGGCCATGTAATCCTGTTAAACATGGAGAGAGCCCTCTCTACTACATACCGTGGGGAACTCCTGCTTCCCACTCCCTGCTTTTGCCACTTTGTTCCCTCTAAAGTGCCTATTTGCCAAACCTAGAAGTAAATCCCATGGTTTTCAGGGGAACAAGGCAAATGGTGTTACAGGCATTGGTCTTTCACTGCTCCAGTTCACACTGGCCTTTTAATGACAAAGCTAGCATGTCACTGCACAGACTGCACTGCACTGCCACAGAGAGAATAATATGACTTGAATAAAGCCTGCAAAGATTTCCATTTCAGTTGCGTGATTGTCTTGTGTTCTCTTTCAATTGGCCTGATCAAGTTGGGTTTAAAAATATAATTAGGATACTGTTGGACATTGATTGCTTTTTTTGTGCTCTCAAAGCTGTATTTAAATTCCTCACACAGTAGAAACAGCACATTTTTGTTGCAGTCCTTGCTGGTGTACAGGTAGTGCTAACAAATTAACATGTCTTATCTTGGTAGGATCAGAGTAACAGTTGATGGGGAGTTTCTGCATTATATTTTTCCTCTCCAATTTCTGGATTCTCCTGAATGGGATTCACTGAGGCCCACAGAAGAGGGAATTTTCCAGGTAAAAGATGAGGGGTTTTGTTTTATGGGTTTCTTTTAGTACTACAAAAAACTGTTCAAGTACTGTTTGATTTAGAAATAAATTTATTCAGTTGTGGGGTTTTGGGATGCTATAAAAATAAGTGGCATTCTATTAATTTTGGGAGGGAAGTCCTCTTTAGCTGTTGGACTGGTTTAGCTGTTTGTATCTTGTTACAACAGGTAGGGTTTTTCTTAAAGCTAATCCAGGAGGTAGGCCCTGTTTGCATTCTTTGGCTGTGCCAATATCCAGCCCTGAGAAGCCAGGTTTGCATGAGGCAGATAGAAACTGGTGCTGAAGAGGCTTCTCAATGGGAGATGAGCCAGGGAGAGACATGCCTGTGACACAGCTTGGCACAGGTTACAGCACAGGACATTGTGTCAGTCGGGGCTGCCCCCTCTAATCTGTGAGCCCTCCCACTGCTGTTACTTGACCAACATGCTGTGTCCTGCCTGTGTGGGATCTGATGTCTCCTGTCACAAGGGCAAATGGCATTTGTTGAGAGCTTTCTTTAGACCTGCCTTTCCAGCTGAGGCTGCCAAGAGTGGAGCAGGGAGTGCAGGGCTGAGGCAGGGCATCCTGACAAGGTGGGCACAGTCATACTGTCACCAAGGCCAACCAGATATGATCATTCAGTCCATCCCCAGTCACCCTTCTCGGTTGTCTTTTGCCTACAGTAGACCTTCCAGAGCTCTCTGCCTGGATTAAAAGGCTCTAATTGCAGTAGGCAGGTTCTGCTGAGAGAGGGGGTTGCCTTCTGAGCAAGGAGAGCAGTGGCAACATCACTGCCTTGTCACCTAGCTCTTTAATTTTCTCTTCTATAGGTAACACTTACAGCAGAGACAGATTGTCGGTATGTGGCCTGGAGGAGAAAGAAGCTCTATCTGCTGTTTGCTAAACACCGTTTCATCTCCCGCCTGTTCTCAATTTTAATTGGGAGCGACATTGCTGAAAAACTGTATGCCTTGAATGACAGGGTGCACGTGGGGCAAGGCTTTAGATATGACATTCGGTTACCAAACTTCTATCATGTTGCACTGCCAGAGACCCCTCCAGTGCAGGTCTCTCCCCACCACCTACAGCGAGGCTCCCCACGCCGCAAGCCCTCAGGGGTTACAAACTGCGGCTCCTTCCTCTCACCGCCCTAGGAAGGAACATTCTGCTGCAGCCATTCCTCAAAGTGATGAAAGAAAATGCAAAGTGGCAAAGCAGAAGAGCAGAAGCAGATCAAGACCCAGTCAAGCCAGATTTGACTGACAAGTGCCATTTACGTTTATTGGAGTAGCTTGAATTTTCTCCCTCTCAAGCCAGCAGGTTGGCTTCTGCATTTTACTGTCTCTGCAATATGTTTACTTTCTGTTGATTCTTCTGTTGATCTTCATCTTCTTACTTTTGGAGGAAAACAAATCATAACAGGTTGAGGTTTTATTGCAATTGTGGTGGCCTCTGTGTTGTGTTGTTCGGGATTTTTTTAAAAAAGCAAGCCCACGGTATTTGTAATTATATTTTCTCAAAATTTTTGCCATAATGAAGTATAGTCAGAATAGTCAACGAAAACAAGTTGTCTTCAAAATATAGCAACTTGCTTATAACATTCATATTTATGCCACATGAACATTGTTTCAATTAATGCGAATAATGCAGAAAACCAAGGACCAATCATATTGGGTTTGTTTCTTAAATAAGTGAAAGATTTTGAAATGCACAACAAGATTCTTAAAGAAACCAAAAAAATAAAACAACAAATTCTATCCTGTGAGTGATTGGTTTCTCTCTGACTGTCCTAAAGAGGTATTATGTGAAAACAAACATAAATGTCATTGCTGGCTTTACAAAAATAGAACAGTTGTAACTGGTGCAACTATAGCTTAGGGAAACGATTGTGTAGTGTTTCTGATAGAATGTGATGCTATTGGACTTAGGCTTCTGCAGTGCCGGTGCCCTTCGTGACATGTACAATAATCAATCAACTGCCAAACCATTGGAGTTTGTTGTACAATATTCTTTTTAGCTACATTTGTAGGAAGAGACTAAAACAGCTGCAGCAATAAATACAATTTTTAACTGAAACATTCTTGTTTAGCTTCCAGAGTCACTTTTCTGTGCCTATGAAATTCTCGATTGAAAAGATATTCTCTCCCTAATTCTGTAGTGTTTTAATGGTGTAAGGGAGCCCCAGCTCATACTTAGTAGGAGAGAGTTGGTTTCGACCCTTGAGGTCACTGTGCCTTTGGAGAGAAGTGTCTGAATGTCTTTGGTAACTCACCTTCCTGCTGCTATCCCTGATGCCAGCCAGTAATCAAAAAATAAGAACCATTACTATTTAATGAGAATGGATTGCCTCTTGATATATCTGGAAGTAGATCGTATTTTTAATATTTTAAAATTGCTGGCCTGTTTGGTAGGATGACCACTGTGTGTTTTTCTCATATGTGGGTATACATATGAGTTTAGAACTGTGAGTTGTTGATGGAGGACTTAAAATGATGATACAATCTTATGCTGAAAGATAATCATGCAATATGTATAAGAAAGCTATTAGAAGTGATATGAAACACTTCCTGTTTGAAGGACCTTCAATGTAGAGCAGATAACATTGTACAAGTTTTGCTTTTAGCTTTATATTACTTTCTCAGAGAGGAAAATCTGACAAACATAAATACCACAGCGTGCAATGGGATAATCCCCAAATCATTCTCATAACCCTTCCATGCACTGTATTCTGTATCTACTACTTAGTGTGTGAAGTCCCTGAGTCACAGAGCTACTTTGTCCTGGTCAAAACAGAATTAAAAAAAAAATGGAAACAGAGAGTTCATTGATGGCTTTTAAAGACCTGTTAAGATGATAACACAGTGCCATTGCCTGGCAGTGTGCAGTAAGGATGTACAGCTGTGTGTGCCCTCTTCCTATACTTTTCATGGTTAAGGGACAGGATAGCAGGCTACCTGGCCTTGGTATGACTCAGGACAGGTATTCTCATGTAACTTCAGTGCTGTGATTGTGCTATCATGTCCTATTTGTCAATGGTGCCTGAGGTGGGTAAGAAGTGCATCATCTCTCATGGGTGTTGTCACTTGGGCTGTGCCTCACAATCCCTCTCTGCTTTAGTTGGCCGAGTTGCTCTGAAAACCTTACACTGTGTTTTAACAGGCCATTTAAAAATAACCCCCCACCCCTCATTCTGATAAAATAACAAGAATATGTAAATTTCTCATGCTATAACACATGTTGGACCAATATGAAGTTTATACTCAATGTTTCATGTGTTAACAATCTACAAAAATAAAAATATTTTATATACATAAAAGAGATCTTATTCTAGATTTAGGTGTAATATAAATGATTAATTTTCAGTTTTCTTGAATATATAGGTTTGGCCCATATAATCAAGAAAACTTGTCTTTACTAAATTCTGATCCTACTAAAGTTAACTAATTTGATCATCTTCACCTTCCAAATAAGACCAAGGAGTCTTGCTCATCCAATTTTTATATCAAGCTTCTATATTCTATTTAAACTATAGCATACTGCTTAGAAAGATACTCTGGAGTGATAGGTGCTTTGTGACATACTTTTGGTAATTTTTTTCTTCTTTGTGACTGGTGTGTGCCTTGGTTTCAGCCTGGTTTCCAAACACAATCCACTGTGATGCTTTTCACTGCTGAAATCGGTTACTGTCAGAAATCTCTACTAGGACATCTGAGTCAATATCTGAACATACTCTTAGCTAATCTTGTTTAGCTGTTGCTGCTGTGCTTTTTGGGCTTTGAGTCACTTTTAAAAATTGTTTCTAGTTTTCCAGCATCTGTTTGAGTTATGACTAGCAGAACATTTCAGCTGTAGAATTCAGGGCATATACATCTACAATAATATAAGTACACACAAAAGGACTGGAAACAAGACAGCAAGCCTGCTCTACCTCTGTTTTGTTTTTTTTTTTAATCTGGGCAGCATTTCTAAAACATACTGTAAAATACTCTCTGGTATGCATCTCGTAAACCAGTGTTTTCAGAGGGCTGTGTAATCTACCTGAGTGAAGACTCAAGACTGATGTCAGTGAAATCAGACAAGCTTTTGTGATATCCTATACATCCAGTCATTAGGGAGTTGGGATTGCTCAGCCTGGAGAAAAGAAGTCTCCAGGGAGACCTTATTGCAGCCTTTCAGTAACTAAAGGGGGCTTATAAGAAAGATGAGGACAGAATTTTTATAGCAGGGCTTGTTGCAATAGGGCAAGAGGTACTGGCTTTAAACTCAAAGAGGGTAGATTCAGATTAGATATAAGGAAGAATCTTTTTATGATGACTGTGTTGAAACACTGAAACAGACTGCCCAGAGAGATGGTGGATGCCTTGTCCCTGGGAACATTCAAATTCAAAATCTGAGCAACCTGGTCTATTTGAAGAGATCTCTGCTTATTCAAGGGGCCTTTAAAGAACCCTTCCAACCCAGACTGTTCTATGATTCTATGATTATTTATAGGTTAGTAAACATTTGGAGCTAGGATGGAGTTCTGACTTGAGCATCATCCAGTTTAAGCCCCTGTTACTACTCAGGAATAATTATCAGTGAGGTGATCAGCCTCCTTCATAATCGGTTTAAAAAAATGGATACTTAAGTCCATGTTGCTGTCAATGAATCCTTTTCTTGTTATGCAGTGATTCCCCTTTACTCACATTTTACATTTTTACCAGTTCCATAACCTTTTGTGGGGTTATGTTTAGATTTGTATACTACTGTAGGTAAGAGTGGCAGAATCTGGTGCACGTGATGCTTTACTCATTCATCAGCATCAGTTTATCTTCTAGAGTTTTTATAACCGTGGACATCGTGTTGGAATAGCCCTTAGAGCCTGCAGAAGGGTTCAAATTTACTGCACAAGCCAGGAAAATATATGGCCTAGGACGGTCCAAAACAGGATGGGGAGGTAGGGGACAGGAAGAGAGCACTCAACTTCATACAGGTTTTGTCCAGGAGAGGTTTATTTTAAATCGGGCTTGTGGCAAATTAATTTGTTGGATGCAGCAATGTATAGTGAGAATTTCAAAGCAAGTCTTGCCTATTTAGGGGCATGGGACTGACCCTGCAATTCTTTCATTATGTAGTAGTTTCTTAACTACTAGTAGGGTAAGTACAGCTAACACTTTTCATCATGCAATTCCACTCAAAACTACACAAACTACAGAATAACCAGAGTGGACATACCCCAATGTACTGTTATAGTTAATAATTTTTGCAAGGCAAATTTTAAGTGCTTAATGAAAAAGATTATTTTATTCAGTTGCCTGTGATAACAGAGGCTGGACTTGGTGACTGAGGAGGGCCATCGAGGTTTTGTATTTTCAAGAATTAATTGCCCAGCAAGTATGACAGTGTTCAAAGGAAACTCAGTGATGGAAAGAATTATGGCAAACTATACATATAGAGATATGATCTGTGCTAGGATAAAGCTGCAAAAGCTGCATAGATGATTGGATGAAAATGCATAGTTTTGCTATACCACAAAAAAGGCATATGCTTGTAGTAATTAAATAATATGTTGATACTGCATTATCAGGAAAAAAAAGTGTTTAAAAAATTTTGCTTATTGTAAATGATAAATATAAGACATATTTGGTCTCAATGTATATGAAAAATTAAAATACAGTATTGTATTGATCATATAAACAGGTATTGCAAACCATGTGTTAAAAGTGAAACAAATCTGCAGCTATTTACATAGAAGAAAACTGTTTAAATAGAAAAGGGAAAAAATAGTATCTATTTGGTGAATTCAGATGTGAACAGATTAAGTATTTTTCTTTCTACTCCTGTAATAATTGAGTGCATATTTTTCCTCCCTAGAGTGTTGCTGTATGACAGATATTTTTTACTATGTAACAAAATAAATACCATATTTAAGCTGATTTGTTAATCCCTCTTGAAAATACTTACTTTGTTTACATTAATATGCATTAAAATATAATAGGTTCAGAGGTCTCAAGGGAGAACACCCTTTTTTTTATGTTTGTCTAATTCACATTAACTTTCCTTTCTTGTAGATTTTTGTGTCCCTTCAGTTTCTGCCTACTGTAATTCTGCTTCTCTGGGAATCAAAAGAGTTAATTGAACTTGACATGTGAATCAAGCCACCTCATGCTGATGAATCAAACCATGTAGGTTGAGCTTCATCAGCAGGAGCGTGTAGGAGAAAGGCAGCGCAAACATGTCATCTTTGAGCTCTAGATTTTGGGTCACGTCCCAAACCATGGCTAGCAATGCCCTCCTAGAGGGTAGCTTTGCAGGGGGTTATGCCAGCAGAAGGTTTGGACCCAAATCATCACTCTGCAAGCTACAAATGTTGTTAAATATTGTTCTGGACTGGAAAAAAAAATGGGACATTCTCAAAAGCTTGTGGGAGCAGAAGGATTTTATAGCAGTTACTCTTCTGCTGTGGATTCACAGGCAATTTTTTTTTAGTTGTCAGTTCCAGTGCAGCTCCTAATTAGAGGGATTGATGGTACATCGTGGGGGCAGGACTATTTCACTACCTGAGTGGGGTTTTGAAGATGAAGGATGATAAAAGATACATGATCAAGAACTCAGACACCAAAGTCATATAAATAAACAATTGCAATAAAATAATAGTGGTAAATATTTCAGCAGTGAATCTCATCATTTTCATTGTATCTAATGGTTACTCTCCATCCAAACTTGTCTGAAACTATATCATGTAGTATATAGGGGGATATAATAATTTTCTGGGAGTAAGGTCCATTAGGATAAGAAAGACACTGAAGCCAAAAATCCCATTTAATGGATAAATGCTCTATGTCATTGTATAGAAGTGGGCACACCATCACCTTCTATAGAAACTGCCCATCATAGGCAAGCATTAAAGCATCTCAGATCTGTAAAAGGAGCTGAGCAGGTCCCTGTCCCCAGGCAGGGATTCTGGCAGGATGATCCCAAGCAGCCTGCAGGAGTCTGGGCTCAGTGGAGATGAAGCACACATATAGTTGTAGTGTTTCCCATGTGTAGGTTTTAGGGACTCCTAATAAGAGTACAGGACAATGTAGATATAATGT